CGCTACACTGGTGCACGGTGTACTAACTGGCTTCTGAGCTCTGGTCTTCTTGCTGCCTGACACTGCTACAACCACCCAACCCCGCACCCCTGGTAATTTTGGTTCTTGGTCATTAATAATGATAGTCAGATATAAAAGTGGTGATGCATCTCTGTCCCCAGAACCTTAGAACACCCTAGGTATTCACTGGTAAGTCTCGTGCCTAGGAACAAGACTCACATCGGTGGCATGTCTGTCAGGATTTTTCTTTCCAAGGATGTACGACCTATAACATGTAAGAATCGGTAGCCATGAACAGTTTCCTGAAGAAATTTGATGACGATAACTGTGGCACTACAGCATTATAATGGAAGCAGGATCTGGATTAAGCAATTTTCCTAGAAACAAACGAATAAGAATCCTTCACAGCTGAGTGGCCCTCCAGAGTCTCCAGAGGCTCTTCATGTTCTTCCCCTCCCTGGTTTGCTGTTCAAGCTGTGAGGCAGGTGGGCAGATGTGAGGATCCATACCCACATCATTAAAAATAGCAGGCCTAGCTGTGCATCATGTGAGAGTGCCCTTGTTTAGGAAGACTCTGATCCCGCCTTCTTGTCTGCATGGGCACCCTCAGTCTGCAAGTAGGACAGGTACTGACTAAATCCATGCTAAAGGCTACTCTGGGAACAGTCACCTCTGTGAATCAGGAAGTGGCTCTAATTCCTCAGCTCTGAAAGCAAGGACTAGGCAAGTTGCTGGAGAGGAGTTTGCAACAATGAGAAACTGAACTGTTCAAATAGCCTAGAGGGCACAGAAGCTGCTAGAAGCAAGAGCTGATTGCCTGGGATTAATAAAAGTAATGCAGCTGAGCATGGTGACACATTGCTTATTATCCCAGTATTTGGGAAGTTGGGGCCAAAGGATCTCCTGGGCCCAAGAATTTGAGATCTGCCTGGGCACCATAGTGAGATCACATTAAAAAAAAAAAAGTAATACACATTGATTATCCCTTATTTGAAATGCTTGAGAAGGAAAGTATTTTAGATTTTAAAAAATATTTGTATATACATAATGAAGTATCCTGGGGATGGGACCCAAATCTAAACAGGAAATTTATTTGTTTCATATACACCTTATCCATGAAGCTTAAAGTTTATTTTATACATTTTTTTTAGTGTGCTTCCGTTTTGACTATGACACATATATGTGAGATCAGGTGTAGAATTTTCCATGTGTGGCATCTTGTTGGTGCTCATTTTTGTGTGTGTGTGGGGGGGATTTTGGAGTTCTCTGGATTTTGGATCAGGGATAGCCAACCTATAAAAGATACAAGCTACTTTGCAGGTATGTTTACCTGCTACTGAAAAGCTGACACAAGCTGCTTTTTACTTGACTTCTGGTATCCTGTTGTTCAGTGCTCTTTGGATGAACAAGTCTTCTCATTCTTGTATTTTGAAATTTGCAAGTTCAGAAAAAATGTTGAAATGGCTCAAATTCATCTCATCTTCAGATAGAACTTTTAAAAAATCATCTTTAATGTAAAGATCTATTTTGTTTTCATGGACATAAGAGTGACAATATCTGCAATAAGCTGTGTGAAAGTTCTGATGTACCTGTCGCTCCAGGAGAAGTGGCTGGAAGGAGAGTGAGGTATTAGTAAAAAAAGAAAAAGAAAGAAAGCAAAGAAAAGGAAGCTTAGGAAAAATATTCATTCACTAATCCATTTCTTTGTCAAATTATTTTCAGAATATTTTTCCATATAGCTAGCAAAAACCCTCTCATGCTATGACTTTTTGGGTTGTTTGGGTTTTTAAACATTTTTATTGGTGCATATTAATTATACAGAATAATGGGTTTCATTGTGGCAGACTTGTATATACATATAAAATAATTTGATCAAGTTCACCTCCAGTACTTCCCTTTGCCCACCTGTCCTCCTTTCCCCTTGTCCCCATGGTCTACCTTCTATTTTCATGAGGTCCCTCTACCTCCTCCTGCTTTTTAAGTTTCTATCTTCCACATATGAGAGAAAACACATGGCACTCATCTTTCTGAGTCTGGCTTATTTCTCTTAAAACAATGCTCTTCAGTTCAATCCATTTTCCTGCAAATGGCATAATTTTATCCTTCTTTATGGTTGAATAAAAATCCATTGTGTATATATACTACATTGTCTTTATCATTTGTTGACAGACACTTAGGCTGATTCATACCTTGGTTATTGTGAGGAGTTGATATCACTGGATCATATGGTAGTTTCATTTTAGTTTTTTAGTTTCATTTTTTTCAGTACTGGGGAATTGAACCCAGGCACACTTTACTCTCACCAACATTTATTGTTATTTGTATTCTTGATGATTGCCATTCTGACTGGAGTGAGAAGGAATCTTAGTGTAGTTTTGAATTGCATTTTCCTGATGGCTAGAGATGTTGAACATTTTTTTCATATAATCGTTGGTCATTTATATTTCTTTTGAGAAGTGCCTGTTTAGTTCATTTATCCATTTGTTGGTTTGTTTTTTGATCTTGAATTTTTTTGAGGTCTTTATGTATTTTAGATATTAATCCTCCATGGGAAGAGTAGCTGGCAAAGATTTTTTCCCCCCTTCTGTAGGCTGTCTTTTCATGCTCTTAATTATTTCCTTCATGTACAGAAGCTTTTTAGTTTGATGCCATCTCACGTATCGATTCTTGGTTTTATTTCCTGAGCTATAGGAGTCCTATGAGGAAGCTGCTGCCTGCACCTCTATAGTGGAGTGTTTCCCCTGTGTTCTCTTCTGCAGTAGCAAAGTTTCTATTGTTATTCCTAAGTCTTTGATCCATTTTGGGTTGAGTTGTGCAGGATGAGAGATATGGATCTAGTTTCAATCTTTTACATTTGGAGACCCAGTGTTTCCAGCACTGTTTGTTAAAAATGCTATCCAATGTAAGTTTTATCCAATGTAAGTTTTTGGTACCTTTGTCAAAAATTGAATGACAATGACTACGTGGGGTTTGTCTTCTATTGTATTCCATTGGTTCATGTGTCTATTTTTATTTTTATTTTTTTAGTTTTAGACAGAGACAATACTATTATTTTATTTATTTATTTTTATGTGTTGCTGAGGATTGAACCCAGTATCTCACATATGCTAGGCAAGCACTCTACAACTGAGCTACAATCCAAGCCCTTATGTGTCTATTTTTATACCAATACCAGGCTGTTTCTGTTATTATGGCTCTGTAGTATAATTTGAAGTTGGATATTGTGATGTCTTCATCTTTTTTTTTTGCTAAGAATGGCTTTGATTTTCTGGGTCATTCGTTTTATGAATTTTAAGATTGTTTTTCAGTTGTTTGTTTCATAATTGGGATAATACATACTTGAACAAAATTTAGCATTTTAATCATTTTAAGTGTACAATTCAGCAGCATGAAGAGTTTCACAGTGTTGTATAATCACCATATTATTCACTTCCATAACTTACTCATCATCTCTAACAGAAACTCTGTGACCATTAAACACTAACTCTGTATTTTTCCCCTCCCTAGCCCCCTGTAAGATTGGCTTTTGCTTCATGTGAATTAATCTTGCCTTTCAAACTAGATTTTTAAGTTTCTTGAGGGCAGGCAGGCAACATAACTTAAATGTCTTTCTACCTTTGTCTATCTCAGGGATGAGCACAAATCAAGTACTTACCATGTCTGTTTGGTGGAGGCCTGGATGCTGGAGGAAGGACCAAGTGACCTTTTCAGAGATTTTGAGCCTCAGACTACCAATTTACCAAGGCAAGAACTTCTCAAGGAAATTCAGAAATCTTGAGGTGTTGGAGATATACTATCATGTTGCCAGGAGCCATAAAGTTAACATTCATATGTGAATCAGTGGATATAGGAATGGTGGGGTACTTGGATTGAATGGAGGAAATCTTTCCCATGCCTAAATTTTTATGAAAATTCAGATCTTCATAAAACACTCAGCCAAACATTCCAATGGTGGCAGATTCCACAAAGAACCACTTAATCAAAAGTCTTGCCAATAACCTATCTCTATGAATAAGCCAGATACCATAAGATCTGTAGAGGCAATTCTGGAAAATAAAGCTTTGGACAGAGCTCCCAAAATGAGCCTTATTCATGTGCCTTCGTGGAAGGTGATATTTACGATCTCTTTCGATTAACCTCATACTGGACCACCAGGCCTTGGAGGGGTCTTTAGCTCTCAGAAATATTTTGAAAGGACTGCAGGTTCATGCTTTCTTTGATAACATCTGACATGATCTTCCTGACTTTTTTTTCCTATTGGAGATTGAACCCTGGGGTGCTTAACCACAGAGCAACACCCCCAGTCCTTTTTTCATTTTTGAATTTTGAGACAGGGTTTTGCTGACTTGCTTAGGGTCTCACTAAGTTTCTCAAGCTGGCTTTGAACTTGCGATACTCCTGCCTCAGCCTCCTGAGCCACTGGGATTACTGGTATACACCACCACACTGGGCTCTGAACTTCTTGATAATTGATACCTCTTATTGCTCGTGAGGTCAAAAAATATGATTCCAAGACATAACAATTATTATGCTGGACCTATCTTGGTGTGTATTTTTTTAGTTATTGTCCCAGTTACAAATAATGTAGTTCGTTTCTCTGACTTAGCCACTCTCTTAAAGTATATACAGTATGCATAACGTGTTATCTGGTGAATAGTTTCCACACTATTGTAGTAATAGAGAGCTGAGCATCAGGATACAGGGAATAGAGAGAGCTAGAAGAGTGTATGCTGCTATCGAACTTGGTATCTTTTATCCCAGGCTCTGCAGCCTATATAGATAACTAGACATCTTCATCTGAACAATGAATCACCAATGAGTTTCTGTAAGATGAAAGTCTGTGATGCTGTACCTGCTTTGTGAAACAGGAAGGCTTTGTGATGTAGTCTGTTGGTCTTGATCCATCTGTGAGGCAAAGGTGACAATGCCTAGAATCTGGAGGCATTAGGTTCCAAGACCCTGGAAACCTAGGAAGAGGGATGGCTAGTGAGGTTTAGATCATGTTGATTCCTGCCTTTGTTGTATGGGATGCGGGATGTCCCTTCTATACCTATGGATCCATCTTCATTATTGCATTAATTATTTGGCAAGTGAAAAAGAGGCACCAAAAATTAAAGTCGGAACCTAATGAAACCTGTTGCCAGGTAGGGAAATACTGTGATCATAAACGAATGGATAAGCCTCCATTAAGAAGATTTTAGCCCCTCATTTTCTCTTATATCCTTGCCCCTTGATTTTTTTTAATGGGGGTTTTCTCATTGGATCCCAGAACAGCTCCCAATTTGGGTCATTATCCTGGTTGGGGGCCATTTAGGACCTTCACCACCATCCTTTAATCTCTTCACTTTTCCTTCTATCTCATCCTGAACTCCCCACAAAATTTGTCCATGAAATAGGAGTGGAAGGTATGGAATTTGGAAGAGCTTCAAAGTGAGTCAGAAATAAGCATAGAAGGGAAAAGTTTGGGTAAAAAAGATAGTGTATGTAAAAGAATGACAGAAGAGTATTAAATGGAATACAGAAAAAATATTGAGAAATGCTAATGGGTTTTGTATCATTTTAGACATGAAAAAGGAAATGGTGACCCAACTTCACATTCTAATGTTTTTGTCTTTAAGCATCACGGAACAGTCAAACAAAAGTCTAAAGATAGAACATCAAAAGGTAAAGCCCCTTCCACTCCACTGTGACTGAGGTCCCCATAGAGCCTTTGTGATCCCTGGTGCCAGAAGCCATGTGTTCTAACCACTGCAGCCTTTAATACCCCCAGTGGCAACTGCTAACAAAAGACCTGCATGGGTGGGAAATCAGAGCATAGGAACCTTCCAAAATTCTATTTTACCTTCCTAAGAATGAAAATGTAGGACAGATGTCATTAACTGTGTCATTTACTAGTTTTATAACCCTGTGGAAATAATTTCATCTCTCAGTCTTGTTCTCCATAAAGTGGGTGTAGCACCAGTGATCTTGTCCACTCAATGTGGTTGTAAAGATCAGACAAGATTAGGGAGAGCATGTTGTTATAGATGGTTAAGCTGCACACAGATTTGACTTAAGAGCATTGGGGTTTTCAGTCTCCTCTCATTCAAAAGCCTTTAGCTTCCTTATAGGATGTCCATGAATTCTCTGCTGTTCTACCTAACACTGTCTCCTGGTTCCTCAGCTAAGAAAACTTCCCAGGAAGAAGCTGAGAAGCTGAGGAAGCTGCTCTCTGTCATGAAAAGGTGATCTCTTGCTCTTTGCAGTCTCCAAACTCCCAGCCTGGACTGTAATGTTCTCTTGGCCTTTGTTGGAGCAGGAATGAGGAGAGGAATAATGGTTGAGAAGAGACATACATGGTAGAGGCTGGTTTAATTATTTAGAGTTGTCAGGGCCAACAGGGTTTCAGACATTTCAGAAGGGAAGGGAACAGAGTCATCCAATTCTACTCTTTGCTAGGGTCACTGTAGTTTGCAATTCAGGATTTGATCAGTGTATAAGTCATAAAAGGCACTATGTGGGGTTGCATTCAGCCATGAGACAAATTATCCCATTAAGAGAATGGGTTTTGAAAGACAGCATCATTGTTATATTTTCTTAGAGCTACACATTTTCAAGGAAAGATTCCCTGGGTCTTCCTGGACCCTGCTGACATTACATCCTCTGGTCTGTCTTCAGGGAGGAGAGTTCCTGGGACCACTCAAACAGGAATATATCGTCTTATCCTATCAAGATTTCCAGAGAATGGGACTGATAGCTAACAAATGCTGGGTATGGACACAGGGGTATCCCATATTTCTCTAAGTGAGAACCTCATTTTCTACAGTTTGGATGTAATGAATCCTGGACTTCAGGTTTTGTTTTGTTTTTTACCACAAATGAAACTAATATTGGTCCTACCTAATGATGTTTCTGGTGACGTCCCATCAACTAACTACTTAGCTACTCCATCTGTCTGATTCAATTCAGCTTCTCACTGAGGTCAGCAGAGAACTGATCCCAGCTTCCCATCTTCTCTGAGAGTTATGCCCTTCCATAGGTTGTCTGAGAGCTTGCCCCAGAACCTTAGCCCAGTTCATCATCCCTTGCCAAATGGCATTTCCTAGGAATAATACCAGAGAGTATAGGACTTGTAGGACTGGGAGTGGATGCAGCAATCCCCAGCCCATTCTTGCAAAGAGGCGGATGTCACTCCATCCTTAACAGTTGCCATGTTTCCCTTCCCAGCCACGGCTGGCTTCCCCAGGTGGAAAGTATACGGCGGCTCCTGTGTGCAGATCCTGGCTGCCAAATCTGCAATTCTCTAGCTCTGGACATTCAGCAATTGCTGGAGTGTGACAACAACCAGATCTCCCCTTCTTTATTGGGGTCACTGCAGAGCTCTGCTTGCCTAGACACATTGTCCACATCAGGTGTGTCTTATGAGCAGGATTCCCTGGACTCCAGACAGTTTTCACAGGCATCTGGCCCCAGTCTGTCACAATTGGGTCAGAAACCTTTAATTCATTCAGCTATCCAGTCAACTGATACAGCCAGTGTCCACAATGTCTGCCCTGACCACCTCCAGCAAAAGCAGAAATCTCAAGTGCCAAAAAAGCCTCAGGATGCAGGGGCTCTGTCTTCTTCAAGCCTTGAGGAGCCTAAGATTCCTGTGAACCAGAAGGAGAGAAGGAAGCACAACTCTGCACTTGTCCCCAAGAACAAAGGTTAGCAGACCTTGAATACTATATTCCCTTTCTTTCCCTTCACCAGGAGCTCCTGAATTTAAGACAATACCCCACAACCTTGCATTCCCTTCACATGCTGTTCCTATGTTCAAAAGGCCCTTAGGTACCTCTTTAAGTAAGGATGTAAACGCATGTATTTCCACATTGAGGGCCCCATGACCTGTGGGGGAGTTCTTGTACTTCTCCTAGCTTATACTTCTCCCAGTGTTTTCAAGGCCTGGAAAACAAACAAGTAACTTTTTTTTTCCTTTTCATTCTGAATACTACCTCTAAGGTGTCTGTTGAAAAGATAGGCTTTCATCCCCTCGACTCTGGACTCATGGGAGTCTAGCCAGTCCACCACAGAGCAGAAATATCACCTGAGCAAATCTCAAACCCCATCCCCTCGCTCTGGCCCTACCCTCTCCCACCTTTCAGCTTTTAAGTGGCCTCTCTCCATTACCTGGGGAATGCACAATGAGTTCCTAGTCTCTGGAGATCTCTCTACAACAGGGGAGCCCTAGTCCTTTTCTAGTCAATAATTTCTCTCTTGTTTCTGTGCTGCCTAAAATTTTTTCCACTTTAGTAGTCCCAGCTTCTTCCCCACATTCCCAAATTTGGCTTTTTCCACTTGATTATTAAAAAGCCCAGTTTTTGTTTAGCACCTGCTATAGAGTCAGCTCCAGGACCGTTGAAGACTTGCCATCTGTTGTCCAGAGCTCTCTGTCATCTACAGAGAACCACACAATATAATCCCTGAGATATGTTGCAGCCTGTCCCACCAGACCTAGGACCCTCCCGTTTTAGTCCTCCAGAGGGTGGCAGCATTGTCCTGGAATATGCCCACAGGCTGCTGGAATTCCATTTTCAGAAGCAGTTAAAATAGTTGATTTGGTTAAGTAGTTAAAATGATTGGTTTACCACGCTGGAGCCTTCTTCCAAAGATTTATCAATCTATCCAGTTTCTCCTTTCCCCTGATGACTAGCAGCCCCTGCCCTGGAGCAGCACAGCCATGCCCTCAGCCTGCAGCCACCTGTAGCCATCCATTGTGGCAGCAGTGCCAGCCCACAGTTGCTTGCTTAGGCTAAAAAATGTTGCACATAGATTACGAATGTGGAAAGATATGCTTGGTCTAGTGATCCTTGCTCAAATCACTGGATCTTCAACATTCTAGGGGATCTGGCAGCAAGTTGGTTCCCCGTCCTCTGGAAAATAAGTCCCTAGAACTTGGAAGCAGCTGTCAGCCCCTACACAGGTCAGGAAGTGACTCCCTGAATATTGATAGACCTTGGCCAGTTCTCATCAGATACTGATGACCTTGAGCTGCCTGGGCCCTGTCTCAGAGAGCCACTGAGAATCTAACTGGAAACAAGTTTGTCTTCCTGCCAGGGCTGCTTGCTCTCTATTTTGCTGCTTTCTCCAGAGCTATGGCCCCAGTAATCAGTAGCTAATCTACAATCGCAGAGTTGGTGCTTGGGCCCATTAGAATCTCTGACTCAACCTCATTTGAACAGCAACATATGAAGTCTTGGGCCACACTTTCGAGGTACCAATAAGACTTGTACAGGTACTCCAGGCTAAAGTACAAGTGAATAGAGGTGGTGGCTTTATAATGTCAGATGGATCCCTGACAGTCCCCAATTACTCAAGGCACCCATCATGCCACACACACACACAAAAAGTTTAATTTCAGAAATTCTTAGGGATACATGTGGGGAAGTCCCATAAAACAAAGGAGTGCAAGGAACAATTTTTGGTCATTTCAAAGAATATTTCCACATAGACCTTGAGGAGTCTAAACAACCAAACAAAAACATTTCTCTAGGAATTCCCTACCTTACCAGACATCTCACATGCCCCAGATCCAAAATGTGTCTGCTTAAAAGAAGAACTTGCAATTGCACTTGAAATATAGTGCAGCAGAGCCAAATGCAACCTAATCCAGGTCAGGTTCAGCCATGGTTCATCCCCAGGGTTCAGCCCACTGTGCCTCTGAGATCTTACAGCCCTGTGTGGACATGACAGAAGCCCAGGTGTTTTGTGCATAGCTGGAGAACCTCTGGAGTCCTTAGCCGAGGCCTTTGCGAGTGTCCTACCTCAGCAGAGAAAACAGAGGACCCAGTGAAATTCAAAGCAACTGAGAATCAGAGAGAGGGAGGTGTGGTATTTGGGCTTTCTCCAATCAGAGCAAGCATCCATTCTGCTGAGGTTCAAGGGCCAGTAGGGAGCTTCTAAGAAGAACCCCGGAGTCCCTGACTTCTCAAATGTATCTCCAGGATTGTTTTCAGATAGAATTAAACTTTAGCCAAGATGGTTGCCTTGAGTGAGTAGGGATTGGCAAGGATTTATCTGGATCTCTAGAATCACCAGCTCCACCCTCAGCTGTTCCACCTGCATCTCTCTCACCTTGAGTTCCCAGAGCACTCTCAGAGATTCCTTGGAAACAAAAAGACCAGATAAAAATGTTCTGCACAGCTATTAGACTAAGCTGAATGATCTCACCCAAATGAGGATTCCTGAGAATGCCTGGCCTTAAAGGGTCAGAACTTATAGTGTGCCAACTTATTGGGCCATAATTTGCTAGGCTAAATTTTGCAAGTCCAATATTTTAATGGACTATATTTTTCAAATCCAAACTTTGCAAGGACAAATGTTTCATGTCTTATAGGATGAACCTGGGCAGGGCCAGAGTTTTCAGGGGCACACATTCCTGGGCGAAGAGTTGGAGGGTTGGGTAGGGGCAACCCATATTCACAAGAGCTCCATCTTTCCAGGAGCTCCAGAAATTGACTTGGGAAATACGATGAAGCTCTATTCGCACTGGATTAACCCTGAAGTGAAAGCTCACAGGCATGAGGAACCCATTTCCCCATCTAAGGCTGAGAAAGTGACCCGATCCAGGACAAAAGAGGTTAAGAAGGGTCCAACCCACACCAAAGACCGCGTGGGAGGAGCTAGGTTGGAGAAGAAAACAGAGAACCCCATGGCCCTGCCTCCCCCTACTGAGAAGGAGCACTTGTCTTTCCTTGATGTCCTCAGTGCCTTCACCAACAGTTCCAGCAAGACGACCTTCAGTCCAGCCAACCTTAAGGACTGTGCCACTCATAAAACTGCTCCAAATTCTGTTGTCAACTGACTTGGGTCACCCAACCAGAAAATCTATCCCAAGTCGCAACTCTCAGCTCAGCAGAAGGCACCAGTTTACCCAGGAAAATAACCATTCCAACAAAAAGGAGGTTTTTTTTCTACATCCCCCTGAAGAAGACTGTCAATCACCCTTTATATTAACATGCAGGTGAGGCATAGCATTCTCCAAATATACTCTATACCTGTAAGCAAAGAGCCACTTGTTTGTGTCTCTTTATTTTCAATGTGGTATGTGATGGAGAGAGTAGAGGAAATAAAAATACTCCCCATGTGGTACAGGAGCTTAAATCCATTTCAGATGGGTCAGCATTTCATGTGATTCCTTTCAACCCCTGGACTGTGGATAAAGGTACTTAAGCAGAGAACAAAGATCCTTGTTTAAGGTACATTTAAAGCATAGGTCAGGCATGAATTTTGTCATGGATTCCATGGTGTCCTTGAGAAGGTGCTTTTGTGTTTATCAAAAGCACACAACTAACATGACAAATGTTAAGACCAAATGACAGAATCTCCTCCATCTTTTCCCTGTTTTTATTGAGATCTTTAAGGGTAATTATCTGGGAGGCTGAGTAGCCCTGTTGCCAGTTCCAACCCTTTGCTTCCAGCTCCTTGGAATGAAGGCCTTGCACAATACAGAGTACAGGATGAGGAGGTACCCAAAAGAACCATAAGAAACTGTCATTGAACTGAGTCATGGATTCAACAATTCACATATTCAAATATTTACTATGTTCCAGGCACTATGCCAGACACTGGGGAGACAACAGTGAACAATACACAGGCCTTCCTCTCATGAAGCTCATGAACTCTGGGGAAGTCATATAAGTCATTAGAAGCAGTATGACAAGAGCTGGTTAGAGGAAATTGGTAAAAGTATTTGAGAGGGCACTTAGACTAGGTTTTTGGTGGGGGGGGGGTGTGGAGGTTGTTTGTGGAATGTTTTCTGAAGTGATACGTAGGCAGAGTTTTAAAGGATGAGCAGAAGGTGGGAGTAGGCTGAACAAAGGCATGGTGTTTAATAAGTGGCATGCTGTGTCAGAAAATGGTGACACAATGAGAAGCCTTTATGTAATTTAAAAAAAGGACCTTAAAATGTTTGAGGGATCAGAATGAGCTTGCCAAGCTGAATGCCATTCATTCACTTCATTCTTTCATTCCTTTAACAAGTATTGAGAACCTACATATACCAGGCACTTGGAATATAGCAGTGAATGAAAGAGGGAAAAACAAATCTGCTCCCAAGGTGCTTACACTGGGAGTAAGCTAGGGAGGGAGAAAAAAGAGGCATAGTTTAAATATATAGTAATAGAAGGTGACTAGATATATGTAAAGAACCAGGGTAAGAGGTATAGGGAAGACTGGAGTGGGGGTACAGTTTTAAATAGATTTACTGATAGATTAGATGTGGATAGTTAGTGGAAAAAATAGTCAACGATGGCACAAGTGCTTTTGGCCTGAATGACTAGCGTTGCCATTAACTGACGTGGGAAATACATCAAAGGGTTTCAATATGCTATTGAGTGGTGGTGGAGACAGGGAATCAGGAGTTCACTTGTACACTTTGAGATGAATACTGGGTATCTAAGTGTATATGTTGATTAGAAAATTTGGACATATGAGCCTGGAGTTCAGGAAAGGGTCCAGGCTACAGGAAACAGACAGCTATAGGTACATAGAGATAAACAGACAGATACATATTAAACCATAAGGCTGGAGGTGACCACCAAGGGAATGAGTGTAAATGAAGGTGACATCTAAGGGCTGGTCCCTGGTATTCTACATTGTTAAGAGAAATGATAAGGAAAGGAGGAACCAGTAAGCAGAGGGCACTGAGAAGTAGTAGCCAGTGAAGTAAGAGGAAAAGCAGAACAGTGTGGTGGCAGGAAGTCAAGAGAGAGAAGTATTTCAAGAAGAAAATGAAGCTGGGTGCAGTGGCACACACCTATAACCCAGTGACTTGAGAGGCCAAGCCAGGAAATCACATGTTTGAGGCCAACCTGAGCCACACAGAAGAGACCCCGTCTGAAAATAAAAACAAAAATGAATGGGAGCGAAGCTAAGTGGTAAAATGCTCCCAGGATCAACCCCCAATACTAGAAAAAAGAAAGAGGAAGGAAGGGAAAAGAAAATTATCAATGGAATTAAAAGTTCCAGTCAGTCAAGTAAGATGAGAACTTAGAGCTGACTATTAGTTTTGGCAACATAGAGATCATTCAGGACCTTGAGAAGAATAGCTTCAGGTAGGAACAGACATGACTTGCTTGAATTTAATATAGAATGAAAGGAGAGCAATTGGTGATAGCAAGTGTAATCGGCTCTTTCAAAGTCTCTTGTATCATGGAAGAACAGGGAAAGGAGGCAATAGCTGGAGGGGGAGTGGGATCCAGAAAGACAAGTTTTTAAACATGGGAGAGGTAGCCTACAGGATGTTGATGGAAAGATTCAGCTTAGAGGGATAAAATAATGATGTGAGAAAGCAAGGGGAGAAGCTTCTGGAACAATGTTGTTTTTCATAAGTGAAGGAGTAAAAAAGCAGGCACCCCAGTGGAGGAGCTGGACTTGGCTAAAAACACAGATATTTTGCTGGTGGGGTTAATGGTGGCATTGATGAGGGAGGACTTTGTGGTAGAAGGGTTTCTCCCAAGATGAGTGAGTGTGGGAAAAGACCCAGAGGGATGAGTGAGGAACTGAGAAGGAGCCATGGCTGCAGGGTTGAGGGTGCCTAGAGAGGCAAAGCTATAAAGCTGGAGGTAGAGAGCCAGGAAGATCACAAGTTTGAGGCCAATCTGGGCCACATAGAGAGACCCTGACTGAAAATAAAAACAAAAATGGCGATGTAGCTCTAGAATTTACTGTGAAAAGTTTCTATTAGGGCCTAAGGAGCTGGCAGTGCAGAAGCCCACGTAGACAAGTAAAGGCGGTTGAAGTTGCAGATTGTGTGTGTGAAGCAGGTGCTCTTGGAACACTGGAGCAGCAAGAGAGACCCCAGAGAAAACATGTGGAGCTTGAATGAGAGCATGGGGTGGAGAAGGGCAGTGTGGCGCCCTAGTGTTCAGTGAGGGGTGGGGGCCAGGGGGGTGTGGGAGAAGGAAGCTGGGAAGCAGGAAGATAATAAGACTGCCCTGAGTAGATGGGATGGACCTGTGTTAGCCACCTAACACCCCTCAGAAGGTGGCACCTCTGCATCCTCCTTCCAACTTACCATAAAGAGCCAAGAATTTGAGAAAGGGCAGGAAGTACTGGCTTTCCTTATGATGTGGTTCGAAGGGCAGGGGATGTCCCTGATGATGTGGTTTGAAGGAAATCTAGGATCACTCAGCACCCCATCAAACCAGGAGGAAGTGGTGGCAGGTCTTGCTTCCTCTGATAGAACCCCACTGTTTAGCACAATTGCCCCCTGTGGCGGGATGCAGAAAACCTAGATGGGAAAAGCATGGATGTGTCTCCCTCCCTGCCCCCTAAACAGTGATTCTGTGCCCAAAAGATGGAGGCCCAGCCCCTAGTTGACTGCCAGGGAGGGAGGCACAAGGTCTAGGCCTGCTGAGCCAACAGTCTCCAGTGTTTTCCTGAAGCATCCCCAGAGATCAAAGGAGGTCTTGGGACAGGCACATCCTCCCTGGTTGGTGGGAGTTGCACATACAGACACAGAGCTGGGACAGTAGAGAAAGGCCCAGAATGAAGGGAATTCACTCAGAAGGGTCACGGTGGTATCAGGCAGGTGGGAAGCCGGGTTAGTGTGCACACATCCTGGCTTAGGGTGGAGTAGGTCCTTCCCAGGGCTCCCGCCCCACAAACTTATCTGCCCCAGCAGATTTCTATCATGGTAATTTCAGGTAGCTGACCTCCATAATTGCTCAATTTTGCACCTGTTTACCGCACCCTAGCAGGGAGGTCATGGGATGTGCTGAGCACAAGAGTAAATGAGATTTAATCATGCTTTGTTTGGTCCGGTCCTACCAGCCTCTTGCCAGCAGGGGACTGGAACTCCCTGAACAGGAGCAGAAACTCCCGCCCTGTTTCTGAATCTCAGGCTCTTGGAGATCCTCAGATTCATGGGGTTCACTTATTTTTATCATTCACTCAAATTCTATTCCCCCTCCTCTGTGGACTTGGCATAAAACATCCCCTACCACAACTTCCTATCTCTTCTGAATCTTTCAACAGCTGCATTTAATCCTTTAGCTAACCTTTCCAATGCCACTCTTACTAAACTTTTTGCCCTTGACTGTCCAGGCTGAATTCTTCTCCTTATTTTAGTTGGACACAATACCTTTATTAATTTTTATGTGGTGTTGAGGATTGAACCCAGTGCCTCATATGTACAAGGCAAGCGCTCTACCACCTAGCTATAGCCCCAGCCTAGGCTGAATTCTTGGAAAGATTTTAATAACAAGCAAGTTACAAACATTCATATGATGGTCTTTTAAAATTTATTTTTTAGATCAACTTAAGGTTCACTGAAAACTGAGTAGAAAGCTCAGAGTTCCCCAAAACCTCTTCCTGCCCCAGGCAAACATAGTTTCCCTATTATTAATATCTTACATTAGTGTGGTTTATTTATTACAATTGAACCCATAATATTACATTATTATTTACTAAGTCCATCATGTAAATAAGATTCACTTTTCCTTTTAAGGCCACTACCTGTATTGATCTAAAAAACTTTACAAGGACAGTGACTGTTCTGCCAAAACAGGAGCCAAAGGATCATATAGACCAGAGGTGAACTGGGGTGAGGGAAGGAACCAGGAATCCACTCAGGAAAGTTGGTAACTGTTGCCATGGAACTGGTAAAGGAATAAGGAAGAGAGATGCATGCAAGAGTGAGAGATCCAAAAAGGTAGAAATGATGAGGGGAGAGAACTCCTAAAAGACCCTGGAGTTAGTCGGAGGCGAATGTGACAATAGCAACCTTTTCCTTTGTAGAGGACAGAGAGGAGCCCCCACTTGGCTGCAGACTCTGGAGACTCTGGGGACTCGGCGCTGGGC